CCCCAGACAAACCCTCTAAGACTAAATATTTCAAAATGGACGCCATGAGCACTGGGAGAGGGAGCTTCCTTAATAGGAGTGGCCTATACCAATGAAAGCAAAGGTTCAATTCAAGTTTCTAGTACTGTATCAGGTGTTGTGAAGAAGACAAAAGAAATGCAGGGGTTCCCAGAAGTCTTGATTCAGATTTAGGCTCTAAGAATTTAAATTAATAGCTTAATCAGAGAAAATAAATTTATTTGAACCAATTCAGAAAGCAGTATAAAACAGTATGTTAAGTGTTATTCACTCAATAATACTCCAAAAATGGAATAATTGTGAAACGAGGATTTCAAAGGTTTTGAAGTTATGGGACCTTTACATTTTAAAGATAAATGATGAAACAATGATCGAGTGGTAAGATTTTTATGGTGATTTTGATTATGATTTTATAAGACAAAATGTAATGAAGCAAAATTTATTCTAGTCTATAACCAACAAGTTATGTTGGGAAGGTGGGAGTGAAGCATGTAAATATCAACTATTATCATAAGTAAATATTAGAGTATTAAAATTGCAGGTAGTGATTGTCAGGAGTATCCATTATCTCTTTAATAACCTTTCTTCTTGGATCTAAGTTAGCATCTTGTTTTTCAATTATGTAATCACTTATCATGTAATAGTTTACATTTTTTCCTTCTAACTCAAAGGTAGGGCAGAAAAGAGAGAGGGAAAGAGGAAGGAAAAGGGAAGAAGGGAGGGACAGAAGAAATAAAAAAGTGAAGAAAGAAAGAAGGGAAGGAGGGACACAGAAAGTAAAGGAGGGAAAAAGGAAGTAGGGGAAGAGGAAAGGAGGAAGGAAGGGAGGGAGAGATGGGAAAAGGGAGGGAAGGAAGGAGGTGAGGAAGGGAAGGAAAGGAGGGAGGGGGAGGAAGGAAAGGAGGGAAGGAGAGAATGGAGAAAGGAAGGAAGGTAAGAAGGATGGATTTATTAAGCATCTACTATGTGCCAGGCCAGGGGAATCAAATAAGGAAAGGAGTTAATGGGTTTTGGAATGGTGAGGGATAGGGAGAGAAGGCTGACCCAATTGGAGCAATTAGCTTCAGAGAAGAATGGGAAAAACAACACCACCTACTAATACTATTACTACTAGTAATACTACTACTACTACTAATATTTATATAGCACTTTATATATAATATATATAATATTTATATAGTTTGCAAAGGGATTTACAAATATCATCTCATTTTATCCTTGTAAGTAACACTGAGAAGTAGGCACTATTGTTACCCCTATTTTACAGATAAGGAAACTAAGGCAGAGAGAGGTTGCCCAGTGACTTGCCCAGAGTTGTACTCTACAAAGTGTCTGTGGCTTGATTCAGAATAAGGTCTTCTGGACTCTGTGTGCAGCACTTTATCCACTATGTTACCAAATGGTAGGACAGACAGGAGACCAGGGTGTGAAGGTTATAGAAGCCAAGAAAAGGAGTTTAGACTTGATGTACTATGCAACAAATGGATTTATGACCTCATTCATCCTACTGATGCAGTTCACAACCAATACTGCCTTCCTATTCTGTAGGATTCCTATTCACGTCTGTCTGTAAATTCTTTGTAAAGAATGTACTGGAGGCCCTCTCCTCTGGTCCTTTGTCTATTTCTGATGTATCAAGACAATACTGGGGCAGTCCTTCACTCTTAATATATGACTACCCTACCTCCTTTTCCAGTCACACACATCCCTGACGATATCTGTTATAGCAGTTTTCAAATGCCAAGTCATCATCGGTTATAAACTACAGCCTCCTACTTACAACAACCGTGCATTTTTCCATTTTCCTTTGAGTCAGGGGCAATTTTGGTTTTTCTGAGGTCGTGGTGTTCCATGATTCACAGACATATATAGCATCACCTGGAGAATATTGGTGTTAAAAACATGGGCTTTTGCATCAGTGAGAAATTTGATGCCATTTAAAGGACCATATAATTTCCCACATACAACCTAGTCTAATTTCCACTTCTTATTCAATGCTGGGCACTATTCAATATCTATTCAAGACACAAAGAATATGTCAAAGCTTCCTGTCTGACTGTATATTGTAACACACTTTAAAAAAATTAGTTTCTATAATACGTTTTAAAACAAACAAAAATTCCACTTTGTTTTCTTATAATGTGGATGGTTAGACCAACAGATTTTATTGAGACTTTGTCCTGTTCTGTCTTGAAACTGGATGAAATTAAGACGCCACCTATAAATGGGACCCTTTGGAGAACCTCATCACCAGCAGCGAAACTTTCTATGTAGATATCCAGGACACTGACAAAGAGTAGAATGACATGACAGATGTTATTTTAGGAAGATTAGTCTGGAAACAATAATCTGGATACAATGGACAGGGGTAGAGTTTCTGCACCAGACAGACCAGAAATTGTTACAATAGTCCAGGTGTGAGGTGAGGATTACCTGGAAAAGAATCGTAACAACAGGGATAGAGTAGAAGGGATAAATTCAAGAGACATTCTAAAACAACACAACTCTGTGAAATGCTGGTTATAAAAGAGAAAAGAGAAGGAGTCAAACTTAAGCAGCATGATTAAGTGGAAAGAATACTGGATTTAGAGTCAGAAGACCACAATGTGAATCTAGGCTTTACCATCTGATCCCTATGTAACCTCAGGTAAGTCCCTTCCTCTGTCTAGGGGGTAGTTTCTTCATCTGTAAAATAAGAGGGTTAGGACTAGATGACCTCCTAAGTACAACTTCTAGCTCTAAACCTACAATCCCATGAGCCCAAGGACCCAAGGATCCAGAAGACAATTCCAAGGTTTAGCTTTTAGAAAGGGCTGTTTTTTTCTCTGACAACAAAAGAAAATAAATATCAGAGTGGGGACATGTTATGGGGAGGATAAAGTTCATGAAATGACTTCTCTTTGAAACGGGAAGAGCCCTTAAAAACCAAAAGCACAGGGAGTGGGGAAAGAGTTGAAATACTTAAGGAAAAAGGAAGCCAGGAACAACTTCAGTCTCTGGGCAGAGATCATTCAAGAAACAGTGAGCAATATGACAGAGAACTGATGGGCAGCAAGTGGAGGGAGGCTGAGGCAAAAGAACCCGAATCTGAAACAGGCCAGTTCTGTCTACCACAGATTCCTACCAAGCACGGATAAATCTTAAATGGCAAGTCAACTTTAAAATGTTTCAAGGTTCCACCAAATTGATAAAAAATTTCCACTTTATTTAAGAAAATGCCACTTTATTTAATTAATTTAAAATTTCCTCTAATATATTTGCTGGTAAAGTTAAAAAGACTGACCTTTTTCTACTTTTTCTTAAATTCAACAATCGTTTGTGTATGAGATACCATGATAAGAGCTGACAAAAACACAAGGATAAGAACCTTTTCAAAAATTCTTCTTACTCTAAAATTCATATGTTATAAAAGCACAACTGCCCCAACTTTTTAAGACCCCCATCTCAAATGTATTAATTATCTAACCTTTTCAGTTCTACTCAATGCTCCTTACATGCCAACATTTTATTTTCTCTAACACTGATCACTAAGCAGTTCCAACAACTCAGAGCACAGTGTTCCTTTAGTTAACCTTGCAAGACTGCTGGATAATTAATATTATTCAACGAGGCTTCCTTTCAGGAATATCCATGCCTGACCCTTCAAAAGACTTTTGTTTAAAAAAAAATCATTCTTTTGCCATTCAGCGATCACTAGGAGAATTCTTTTTTTTTTTTTTGAGATATAATTGTATATATAAATATCTACAGTTATAAGAAGAGTTTGTTCTTAAGGGCTCCTATGCAACTAGTGGTTTGTATGTACGTACGTAGGGAAATAAATATCAATCATCCTCCCTATCCTTCACGCTAACATTTCCATTGTCATGGGTTTTCTCAGGGCTTCACCTTTAATCCTTAAAGTCCATACATAGTAGTCTGAATAGTTATATAATTTATCTGAAATTTACTGTGTGACTTTTTTGTTGTTGTTGTTGCTACCCAAACCTGTGATTTCATCATTACTGGGAAATCCCATGAGCACTTAACCTCTCAGCACCTCAAACACCCCAAGTCCATGATTACTATTCATGAATTATTGCCATGAGAACAGTAGGGACTGGCTGATTCTTTAAAGAGTTTTTTTTTAACTGAAAAGATAATCTAGACTATTCCTACAATCTACTTAACAGGGATAGTGCCTGCACCTGTGATTTATTTAGTGCAAGGAACTCATGGGTAAGAGAATTTCCACTACCAACATAAATTGGTGCCTCCTAATGATTTCACTAGAGTAACAGAGTTGGTATGGGTCAGAGGTGGAGCCCAAGCCTAGGCTCTGAGGTGAGGTAAGCTCTATATCCACTATGACATGCTACTTCTACTAATAGCATTGAAAAAATTTTCTTAAGTCATAAAGCAAGCTTAGTATGTATAAGAAAAAGCTTCATGTTTTAGTGGATCCTAGATTATTTGACTTCTCCAATCAGGTAGACTAATCACTACCCCCCCCCAAATAACTTGTTTTTGTTAATCCTACCACATCTCTTCTTGCATCTACTTTCTCTTTGTCCAGTTATTTCCATTATTTGCCTATCAGGAGAATTATAAATTTATAAACAAAGTATTCCTTTCCTAAAATCCATGTTTAAAAAGCACCACTGTTGCAATCTCATCTAACCTCATCTTTAAAAATATCACTCATGTGATCAACATTAATGCCTTTCCCTATTCATAATTCCAGGCTTGGCAACTCTGGGGTTTAGTTTCCCATATGCCCACCAAACAGGGTCGTGTGTCAGAGAAGGACCTCACAGAAGGCAGAAGTAGAAGCAGCAAAAGAAATTATTGGACATTTCCACCTAGACATCTTGCTGGCACCTCTAATAAGTGTTATAGAATTAGATTTGCTGAGAATTTAGCAGACAGAAGCAGAAATCCTGTTAATGAGAGGAGTGGATCAATGCTCTACTATCATACTAAAATATGTATTTGCTACTTACATTGTACTGCATATGATGCGAGAACTACTGCAGAATTAAGAGGGCATGTTAACCTAGAAGGAAAGAAAAATCAAGAAATATAAAATTCAACAATATTCTAAATAAAACTGAATATATTTGATCACAAATAACTGTGGATGACACTTTTTATTGACTTTTTAAAGGAATTTCATGAATAATACTGAAGGTCATTTTTGCTACATCGAAAGAAAATCATTCATCTCAAATAGGTATGCCAATTGCAAGGCTTATACAGTTCTTAATACAAGCTACTGGAATTAAAGGGTTTTTTTTTTGTTAAAAAACACTCCAAAATGCAAATATTACCCTGAAAAAAAACAAACACTGGGTTTTACACTAGTGAGACAGCTGCATTCGCATTACAAAGGTTAACACTCTTATTTTGGGCATTCATAGTAAGTGTCAAAGGGGCAGCTAGGTGGCATAGTGAATACAGTGCCTGGCCTGCAGTCAGGAAGACTCATCTTCCCAAGTTCAAATCTGGCCTCAGACACTTACTACCTGTGTGACCCTGGGCAAGTCACTTAACCCTGTTTGCCTCAATTTCGTCTTCTGTAAATGAGATGGAGAGGGAAATGACAAGCCAAAAAGGGGTCCTGAAGAGTCTGAAACAACTGAACAACAACAAAAAGTAAGTGTCAAATGTCAGGCTCAGAAAACAACGGTGATAAATGAACAGAATAATTTAAGATATTATTTAGGAATACTCTGAGGTTTGGGGGTTTTTTTTGAGTCTAAATCTATTATTACATCCATACAGGTAGCCCTAGGAACTGAAAGAAGTGTGATCTTCCCAGGACCTCGAAGCCAGTAGGTTTCAGAGGAAGGACCTGAAACCAGGCTCACCTGACTCCAAAGGTCAACTCTCAACCCAGCACACAAGGCCTCTTACAGTGCACATCATGTTGTGACAACATGTAAAGAACTAGGAAATTCTTTAGAGAAATATAATCTTTAAAAACAAACAAAACCCTAAATGTTATTGACTCATACCAATTTCCCTGGGAAGAAAGAAGGATGGACAGAAGGAAGGAAGGATGTGTCTGGGAAAGAAGATGACTGTAATAAGGAATTCCTGGCAACACAATAACTCATGACTCCCAGATTAGTATTTCTCATCCAAGTTTCAGTCCTACTTGCCTAATTTTCTTTTTTTTATTATTTTAAAATTTATTATTTATTTTAAACATTCTTTTCTTCTTAAATTTTGAGTTCCAAATTCTCTCCCCCAGCCCACTGAGAATGCAAGTAATATGATATCAATTATACACGTGAAATCATGTAAAACATATTTCCATATTACAAAAAAAGCAAGAAAAATAGAGTCCTTTGGTACTATCTTACATCACTGTACTATCTTACATCACTGTACTTATCAGAATAGACACGTCTTTTACAATAGATCACCATTACAGCACTGCTGTTACTGTGAACAATGACCACCTGGTCCCTACTCACTTCACTTTACATTAGTTTGTATAGGTCTTGCCATGTTTTTCTGAAACCATCCCCCAAGTAATTTCTGAAACCACAAGAATATTCCATCCCAATCATGTGCCACAACTTACTCAGCCATTTCCCAATTAATGAGAAGCCCCTTGATTTCCAATTCTTTGCCACAACAATAAGAACTGCAATCAGTATTTTTGTACATGTACGCCCTTTTCTTTTTTCTTTGATCTCTTTGGGATACAGACTTAGTAATAGTATTGCTGGGTCAAAAGGTATGCATTGTTTTATAGCCCTTAGGGCATACATAGTTCCAAACTGTTTTCCAGAACAGTTGGACCAGTTCACAACTCCACCAACAGTTCATTAGTACGCCTATTTCTCACCTATTTCTCCCTCATCTCCTCCAGCATTTACCATTTCTGATAGGTGTGAGGTGGTACCTCTGAGATGTTTTAATTTGCATTTCTCTAATCAATAATGAATTAGAGCATTTTCTCATATGACTACAGATAGCTTTGATTTCTTTTTCTGAAAACTGCCTGGTTCTTTGACCATTTATCAATTGGAGAATAGCTCTAATTTTTATAAATTTGACTCAGTTCTATACTTATATCTTTGAGAAATGAGTTTTTTATCAGACAAGCTTGCTGCAAAAACCTTGATATTATTTCATTGTCTATGGTACATTTTAGCAAAATTTAATTTCCCTGATAATTCCTTTCAATTAGATCCATTTTTGCTTTTGCTTTTTGTCTGAGATCATGAATGCTATCCCCACCTTTGTTTACTTCAGCTGAAGTATAATAGATTCTGCTCCAGCCATTTATTTTAACCCTGTGTGTGTCTTTCTGTTTCAAGTGTTGTTGGATTCTGGTTTCTAATCCATTCTGCTATCTCTTTCCAATTTATGGGTGAACTAAACCCATTCACATTAACAGTTACGATTTGCGTATCTCCCTCCAACCCATTATCTTGTTCCTTCCTCTCTACCCTGTCCCTCCTCAAAAGTGTATTTTGCTTCTAATCACTGCCTCCCTTAATCAGACCTCTCCTTATCATCCCGTACCCCTTATCTCTTTGCCTAATTTTAAACTTCCACAAGGGTAGACAGTCCATCAGCAGCTCCAACTTGACAAACCTCAAATTAAGCCTCTATTCTCTCCTCTAAACTCCCTTCAACTCTAAATCTGTTATCCTTTTATTCTTTCCATGAATGTTGCTTTCCACCACAATTGCTCCTTTCTGGTTTTCTGATCTGTCACTTAGACCACCATTCTCTCAATTACCCAGGATCAAAACCACAGATAGCAGAATACAGATGAAAGTCTTTAATGCTTCTCTTAGCTGTTAGTATTCTCCTGGTCCTTCAAAAATAATTTGCATTTATGCACTTTGTACATTTTGTCAGATGGTTGGTCAGCAAGTATTAATTAAGTACCAGCTGCATGCCAGGCACTGCTAAGCACTGAGGATACAAAGAAAGGCAAAGCCATCCTGTGCCTTCATTCTAATGGAGGAGATAATACCTGAGCCGGGTCCTGAAGGAAGCCAGAGCATTCTAAGTACTGAACTCATAAAGGTGAGAAATGAAGTATCTTGCTCAAGGAACTACAAGTAGACTAATGGAGTTTTGGTAGGGTTCAGAGAGCAGAATAAGGTATAAAAAGACTGGAAATGTAGGAAGGGGCCAGGTTATGAAGAGCTTTAAATGCCAGAGGAGTTTATACTTGATCTGGAAGGTAGATGGGAGTCAGTGGAGATCCTTGAGCAGGGAGAGTAACATGGTCACCTGGGCAGCTGCATGGGCACGTATTGTAGCGTGGAGAGATTTGTGGCTAGAATATCAGCTACAAGTCTACTGCAACAGTGCATGCGAAAAGTTATAAGGAGCTATATTATAATTGTGGCTGTGTGAGTGGAGATAAAGGACATATACGAGAGATTATTACCATTAAAGGCAATCATTTGGCATAAGAGAGGGTTGTGGGCAGCACTTGATGTGAAGATCTGAACAACAACTGTGGTAGTGTGATAAGAATTAAAGAGGAAAGAAAAAAAGGATGCTATACAACAGCTAAGGACCCAATTGGAAGGAGATTATGTTAATTTAAGAGTAGGCCCAACTCACTTTTTTTTTTTGGCTTTTCGGTGAGGCAATCAGGGTTAAGTGACTTGCCCAGGGTCCCATGGCTAGTTAAGTGTTGTGTCTGAGGCCAGATTTGAACTCAGGTCCTCCTGACTCCAAGGCCAGAGCTCTATCCACTGCATCACCTAGTTGCCCCTCCAATTGTCACTTTTTTGTGACTTATTCTACTAACATTTGCCAGCTCAGAAGCAGAAACCAAAATAAATAAATAAACAAACGAATGAATGAATGAATGAATGAATGAATCAATGAATAAGTAAAATAAAATAAAATAAAATAAAATAAAATAAAATAAAATAAAATAAAATAAAAAGGTGAGGGAAGGGAGAGAGTCAGCAGTTAGGTGGTACAGTTGATAAAGCTCTGGCCTGAAGTCAGGAAGATGAATCTTCCTGAGTTCAAATCCAGCCTCAGACACTTACTAGCTATGTGACCCTGGGTAAGTCACTTAACCCAGTTTGCCTCAGTTTCCTCCTCTGTAAAATGAGCTGGAGAAGGAAATGGCAAACCCCTCCAGTATCTTTGCCAAGACTACCCCAAATGGGGTCAGATACAACTGAAAAAATGACTCAACACCACCAAAAAGGGGAATGGTAGAGGGGTGACCCCGAGCTGATGGTTAGTGGAGCACAAATTCAGGATAAGGAAGAAAAGGATTCAAGAGTGGAGGACAGGCACAATTGAAATGGTCAAGACTAAAGAGATGAAATTGAGGCCAGAGAAGGAGTTATAGGCTGCAAGAACAGAGAGTGGAGAGACTGACGACTGAAGTGAGGATGGGTATAGGAGGAATGAAGCAGCTGGAGGATGGAAGGATGTAAAATCAGGGAGACACAACTGTTTTGGATGAAGATAAGGTATAAGTTAAGCTGAGGGAGAGAGGAGAAAGAGGTCACAAGAGTTGGGAAAGATATTTAAAGGGATATCAGTGTGAAATGTTAAAGCAACCAAAACTACGTATTGCCATCTCACCTTTTGCCACTAGCTCCTTCCCACGTGATAACATCCTTCCTACTCACTATCTTCTTGACTCTTTACCACCGCCATCATTCTACTCAAATGGTTCTTCCTTCCAAAGGTCATGCATGACATACTAAACAGTCAAGTTAATAAATATTTATTAAATGTCTACTAGGCACTGTGCTAAGTTCTGGCTTTTTTGAGATCGTCTCCTCCTCCTTGGTTTTCTCTTCATATAATCTAACACCATCACCATGTCCCCCTACTCAATACTCTGTTGTCCATGGGTCTGGGCCTCTAGTTCATGCTCCTCCCAGCCCCTTATGGAGGATGTTCTTCAAGGGACCATCCTCAGCCCTCTTCTCTTTTCATATTCTCTCACTTGGCAATCTCACTGCTCCCAAAGCTTCAATTACCACCTCTAAAGCAAGTAACTCTGAAATCCATTTCAATAACCCTGACCTCTCTTTGTACTTTTACAACTCCACCTCCAGCTAACTATAAGGCATTTCCACCCAAACATCTCACAACCAAACTTTAAACTCAGCCAAGTCCAAAAACTGAGCTTATCCTCTCCATAACATTATCAGATCTGATTATGTTAATGCTTCTGCTCAAAAATTTTCAGGAGCTCCTGAACGCCTTCTTAGTAGAGTTCAAATACTTTGCCTAACGCTCAAAACCCTCCCTGAACTGGTACTACTTGACTTCTCCATTCTCAGCAACCATTACTGTCCTCTGTACATTCCATGCTCCAGCCAAACTGGACTCTTTGAAGTTTGTGCTATAAAACAAAATCTCTCGACTTGACCTGTGATCAACTGGTTCCATGACCTTGTGTTATCTACTATATCCGAAAGGGTTTCCCCATCCCCTACTCTTCTGAGACTGGAATAACAGAGGCAAAGATGAGCGATGATGTAAAGAGGCTCCAAAGTTACAGAGAGCTTCTGAGAGATGACTCTGGTTTTCCCAGTAGGCATTAAATTAGTGCCTATCCTTTAAAGCCCAATTCAAACATTCCTCCTCTCCATGAAGCTTTACCTGATCCATTCCCCACGAGCGGTACAATGATTTTCCTCCAAAATCTCATGTGGCATTTTGTTGTGTTACTCTCTAATACACTGCCCCTGTAAATTATATTATAATTATCTGTATCTGTATCTTATTATTCTCCCAAATAGACTGTATGAGCAAAGGAGCAGTATCTTATCAAAACTCTTCACCTCACCATCACCTAGTAGTCCAATGTGAACACAGAAAAGGCTTAATAAATCATTTGTTGAATGAATAGTAATACCATGTTCCTGGTCACCCAGGTTTTCAACTTACTGAATCTTCCCTCACCCTCCATATCAAACCAGTTTCCATGTCCTGTTAATTTTACCTGTTATACGTGTCTTGCTTTCTACTTCTACTGCCACGTCCCTTGTTCATGTCCTATCACCTCTTACACACACCACAATAATAGCTTTATAAAAATTAGTCTACCACTGCTGAAATAATCTTGTTAATGCAGAGGTATGACCACAGTACTCCTCTGCTCAAAGACACTTAATGGCTCCTCATTACCTAGAAGATAAAATACAAACTCCTTGACCTTAAATTAAAAACTCTTCACAATCTGGTTCCAACATCCCTTTCCATACTTCTTACACCAGAACACCCTTAACTCACGGAGGGTAGGGAGCGTTTCATTTTGTACTTGTGTGTTTGCTTCCTAGTATCTATCCTATTGCCTGGCACATAGTAAGCCCTTAGTTCATATTGCTTAATTACTCTTTTACATATAAGTATTCCCAGCGCTGAGCCTTGCACACAGTAGGGGCTTAACAGATGTTTATTCAATTGAAGGACAGCACATTCTATTTATCTGCTTCCTCTTTGCAGAAAACTTTTTCTTTTTCCCCCTGCAAACACAAAGCATCCTATGTGAGATGAACCTTATAAGCAAGTGAAACTCAACTATCAGGCATTGACAGTCAGAAATCAGACAAGATAACACTATATAACCTCTGCTATTTCCCCTCAAAAGAATAGTCAAACACAGAACTAGGGGATGGAGGAGGGAACTCAGAGGGAACAATTAAGATGTCTACTTTTCTCAACTCCTTTCACTTTGCCATACCTACTTTCTCAGTGTTTTCTCATTAGGTCTCTATTTATTCTCTTCCTTAAAAGTATTTCCCAAAGGTACTCTGGGTCTCCTTCCAAAAGCTTCTTAAGTTTTTATCCCAAAGATCAGAATACGACTGGCTGTAAAGCCCCAATCACTCTAAATTGTTTAGAGGCTGCCCTTAACCAAACTCTGCTTTTATTAGCAGGACCTATGACCAGCACGCAGTGAGCCAAACGCTTACTGAAGAAGTGATTTTGATAATGTCTGAAAAGGACTTAGAAGTCTAGACAGAATATCAAGGTTTAGAATTCCCATAGTTGCTATAACTGCAACTTTTAAGACGCATCATGTCTACATAGAGCAGCATTCCAAACACAAGATGAACTCTAGCAGAAGACAAAAAATACAATATGACTTCAGGAAGATTTCTTTGAATGAAGGTTCTGCATTAGGTGAAACAACTATGGGAAAGCTATTCTTTTCAGTCTCTGGTGATTTAAAGGGAGGAAAAAAAGAGAAAATTTTCATTACCTTCCTTCACAAATATCCATCTTCAGTTGCAAGAAGTATAAGTGCCTATAAAGCAAATTTAAAAGTAATATTTAAATTAAAATAAGCAACAGAGACGATAACTGTAGAAATATTTTTCTAATGATATGAAAGCATCCTTGTGTATGTTTGTGAATTTTACACAACCATCCTTAAGACTACTAACACTCTTATCTTAAAGCCACCTTTTTTGAAATACTCTTTCTAGTTGACCATTTTCCTCTTCACTCTTCTTATTTCTTGTTATATCCTTTCTTTCAACTCTTTAAGCCTTTGAGAAATGGAATGGCTGGTGGATGGTTACCACATGGATGAGGACCTTTTCAATAATGTTTACCACTGCCTTTCCCATGTGAACACTCCCTTTCTTTCCACTTTTATTTGTTCATTCTTTATCTTTTTTTAAAAAAACAATGGAAGCATTATTTATCGTATGACAATTAAAGAGTGGTAAGGGATGAACTTCAGCAGTCATTTAGTCCAATCTATGCACCTGAAAAAAAAAATACTAAACTACATTTAAGAAATGGTGACCCAGCCTTCGTATGAAGATTTCCAAAGGGAACTCCTCACGTCCTGGAACCCCATTCTACTTTGAGATAGCTCTAATGTTTAGGAAGTTTATTTCCTTATCTTTAACCTAACTTCCCCTCTTTGAAGCTTTAATCCATTGGCTGTCATTCTGCCTGCTGGGGCCAAAGCAGAATAAGCTTAATCTTTCTTCCATGTGCTAGCCCTTCAAATACTTAAATTCAGCTATCATGACCCAGCCACTAAGACTTCATGAAGCTAAACATTTCCCAGTTTTTTAAACTGATTTTTATACATCATGAACCCAAGCTCCGCTTTGCATCCTTGTTGTTCTCCTCTAAATGGTCTCCAACTTACCAATCTGTCCAAAAATATCAGGTCCAAAATGGAACACAATACTCTAGATGTGGTCTGACCAGGGCAGAGTGCAGGAGAATTATCACCTCCTTATTCCCGGAAACTATGCCAACTCAGATCATATTAGTTTTGTTTTTTGTTTGGTTTTTTTTGGCTGCCCTCTATAATTCTGTTGATTCCTACTGAAATTTCAAGTTCTTTAAAACTTCCCAGATCTTTTTCGGATGAACAACCAACTAGCCCCATCTATCCAGTCTTGTTCTTGTGAAGCTGATCTTTTGATCCCAAGTATAAGGACTATGTTAATCCTCATCTATATTCATTTTATTCAATTTGGCCCAATGTTCCAGAGTGTCCAGATCTATTTGAATCCTGACTCTGGCTCTCAATGTATTAGCTTGCCCTCCCAGCAATGTGTCATCTGAAAATTTAATAAGTATGCCATCTATGAAATCTGCTATAAACCTAATTATTCACTTTAAGACTCTTTTAACCAAACTTCTAACAGAATCCACTGACGGCATGTTTGCTTTCTCCATCATTATGATTAAAAATCAATTCACATGTCGATGAGCCAAGCAATTACTTTTTTTGAAAGTTAACCACTTGACCAAAAACCATACTAAACTATATTTAATATTACCATACTAGAGCCAAGAGCAAGGTGCTCATACAAAAGGTATTTCCTGGAGAGGCAGGGTTGCCTCTTGTTCCCTCTCAGGCAGCTAAAATTTTCATTATAGAGAGGGGAAGTTCTCTGCAGAATCATACCTGGGCACACTATACCCGCTAAAAATGTCAACAATCAAATGACCTATAAAAGTAAGCATTCTGGAGAAGCAGCATGCCACCATGGATAAAGGGGCAAATCTTTTGAGTCTGGAAGACCAGGGCTCAAGTTTTGTCTCAGATATATATCAGCTATATAGCCCAGTGCAAATCACTAAAGTTCTTGATGTTCTCAGGCATTTCTCTAAAACTATAAATTACAGATCAGTTGGTCATCTGAGATTTACATTAGTATAGGAAGATTCCAAACCAGGGAATTCTTTACATTGGTGAGATCACTAGTCCCAACAACAATAAATATTTATATTCTGACATGTCCCCTGTATGAATGAGCTGAATAAGTAAAGGTGACTAGGGTGTGAAGCAAACTCAACTTAGCCCAGGCATTCTTTCATACCCAGTTACAGTTTTTTGTCCACTGCTGACAGCACACATTCAATAAAGCAGGACAATACATGGATATGTATGCAGTCTGTCTAGAGGATGGCATCTAATACATTCATGTATCTTAGCTAATTGATCTCACAACAGATTTTATCTCTGTGGACTAGAAAACAAATTATCTCTTCCAATAATGGCACTCTAAATAATCAGGATGAACTGCACATTGACTCATCTATATTAGTCAACCAATTGCCTTAGATAGTAGGCACAAAATTTAAAAAATAAAACATCAGTGAATACTGAAAGAGATGTATGATCATACAATAAACGAATTACAGTTGCAAGGCACTCAGAGGCCACCTAGACCAATTTCCTCATCTGACAAATGAGGGAATAGAAGCCCAGGGTCATATACAACTAGAAAGTGCTGGAGGCAGGATGTAAACCAAGTTCTTCCTAACTCTAAGTATGTCAAACCAGCTACCTTTACTCCTTATTCTGTAGATAGAACTTTTTAATTATCTGTAAGCAGGTCAGCTGCCAAGTATGACCGTGATAATCTTGAAAAAGGACAAAAAAAGATGCTGGAAGGGATTTACTTGTATTGTGAGAGTTGATTCTATCTCTCTTTTTTTGTAGAATCCAAAAGGAATATCGTCAGCTCCAGCATATGGCCAATATAACAAGAGACACACTTATTAAAACTGAATAGAGATGAGAGAAATGGTGGCAGAAGGGGAAAAGAAGAATTTTGGCAATTTTTTTTTAAAGCAAACTTCTTTCGTTTGATATATAAATGTACATAAATATCAGGCTGACTAAGTTCAGCTGTGCCCATCTTAACATTTAAGATCATTTCACTATATTTCATGTAAAAAAACACTAAATTCATCAACAATTTCATAGTTTTCAATTGTTACTTTTCCATCATCACCATCAATATTATTAGCATCACCATCATCCAGCCAGAATGCACCAAAGAGCTAGTATTTTTTTTTAAAAGTCATGTGGGAAACATAAGACTTCGTTGAATTATGCCCATCTAGGTTTTAGATCTGCATTCTTTCAACACAGGATCATGTGGTCATTATTATCTGGATTGCTAAGAGATGGTTTTCATTTATGGCTTTCTGTGAGTTTCCATCTTTACCCAAAGTAATAATCAAATATAATTAGACATATTGATTTTCTTCAAGGTTGGAAATAGAAAGGAAGAGGTTACAGATGAGCTAATAGTAATTTTAGAATGGAAAAATTAATTTCTGTTGGCAAATCAGGCTAACTAATATAATCTGATGAATTACTGCATGGGAATATAAATCAAAAAACTGAAAAAAAACCCTACCCTGTATCAAATCACACCCTGTCACTGACACCCCAAGAAATAGCAAATATGACCAGCCTCTGTAAGTGATAGGAGTCCAGAATGACAGGAAAACCCAAATGATGATAAAGAGACATAGAATCAAATAGATAGGCTGTCTCTGAGGAATAATAATGATTATAATGATAACAATAATAATAACTTGTACTTATATTACAGTAGAGGCAGTATACTATGCTGGAAGGAATACTGGACTCAGGGGTTAGAAAATCTCTTATTTGCCACTTGCTATCTATGTGACCATAGGAAGTAATTTAAGTTTATGGGCCTGAGTTTCTTTATTTGTAGAATGAGAGAATTAACCTCTAAGGCCCTTTCCAGCTCTACAACTATAATCCTAAGACTGAGTGTTTTACTGTTTGCAAAACATTTACATTACCTCATTTGATTCTCACAGCTATCCTGTGACACAGGTATTCTTATGGTAGCTAGGTGGCACAGTAGATAGAGCACTGGGCCTGGAATCAGGCTTCCAGACTTCAAATCTGGCCTCAGACACTGACTAGCTGTGTGATCCCGTGTAAGTCGCTTAACCCTGTTTGCCTCAGTTTCCTTTTCTGTAAAATGAGCTGGAGAAGGAAACGGCAAACCATTCCAGTATATGTGCCAAGAAAACCCCAAATGGGGTCATTAAGAGTCAAATAAACTGAAAAACAACTGAACAACAATAAACTAAAGATGCTCTTATAAGCTCTATTTTACAGATGAGCAAACCAAGGCTTAGAAAAGTTAAATGACTTAATCAATGTCACATAGCTAATAAATATATGAGCAGGATTTGAACCTAAGTCTTTTGATTCCAAGTCCAGTAGGAAACCATTTTATACAATTATGGAGTTAAACAACCCTAAATCATTGGATAAATTAGTTAAATTAGTTACATAGGGGTCCTAGAATCAACTGGAAGGACATTAATAATGACGATGAGGACAACAATGATGATGATGATAGTAATAACAACAGTAATAATGGCTGGAATTTACATAGCACTTTAAGGTTTGCAAGGCATTTGATCCTCACAACAACCCTGTGATGTAGGTGCAATTATTATCCCCACTTTACAGATGAGGAAACTGAAGCAGACAGCGATTAAATGACTTGCCCATGGTCACACACCTTTTAAGTGTTAAAACTTGGATTTGAACTTAAATCTTAGGCCTACCGCTCTACCTACTATAACATCTAGCTGCTTCTTAGGTTTTTTTTTGAAATTTAGGGTTCAGTAGAGAAACTTGAAGGAAGTCTTTAGAACATCTTATTTTTTAAATGAAACATGAAACACTAGCTCTTTTTAAAGGTGCTCTATCCAAACTGTATATTTCAAAAAATGTCATTCATGTTTTTCTGTCTGACTCTGCTTTTAAAAAAAAAGCAAAAAAAAAGAAAAGAATCCGCCTGTTTAGTTATACCTGTCCCCAGTTTTGCTTGACCATGCATTCCAACAGAACCAATTCCTCAAAAGTCAGTAACTCATCTGACAAGCCAGTGTATTAGGCTGACATCAACAAGATAACATGGAACCCGTAATAAACTCAAGATGTGCACTGAAAGGTCAACTGTAAGGAAGACTTGGTCTGGCAGCAGTTGATGTGGAAAGAGATCTGGGGAATTTGGTTGACCAGAAGTTTAATTTATGTACCAACTGTATAATGTGGTTACTTAAAATGCTAATACAATCTTAGCCTGCATGAATAATGTACAGATGACAGGGATGGCCCCACTGTGCCCTGGACTGGTCAGACCACACTGCAAGTACTATGGACAGTTCTGAGCAACATATTTTAGGAAGGAGAGTGAAAAACTGAAATGTGTTCCAAAGGGGCCAGTTATGATGGAAAGAGGTCTAGAAACTACTGCCTAATAGGGCATGATTGAGGTAAATAAGCATGTTTGGCTTAGAAAAGGCTGAGAGGAGAGACAACAGACAATATTTGAAGGGCTGTAAGGAAGAGGGAGTAAATGTATTCTGTATTGTTCTAGGAGGCTGGATAAAAGCCAATGGATTGAAATTACAAAGAAGTTTAATGTAATGAAGAATTTTCTAATGAACAGAACTTCCCCAAAGTAGAACAGGTTATTCCAGGGAGTAGTTACCTAAGGCTCAGTTTCCTCATCTGTAAATTGAGAAGGTAGAACTAGGTGATCCCCAATATCCCTTTACCTCTAAGTACTACAATCTCGTGAGGAATTTTAGTAGAGGATAGAATTCTATGTAACGAGGATTATGAAAAAGAGATTCCTCACTCAGGGGGAGGATGAAGTAAATGATTTCTGAGGTCCCTTCTCCATCAAAATTCTTCCAGCCTATGACCCCACAATCCACCATATACAACTACAGAACTATTAGCCATGAGACCCATGTCTCTGTTTTGAGTAGTAATTCAATTTGGCATTCGGGTCACACATCTAGTCACTCATTCTCATTCACAAAGCCAACAAATTCCAAGACTCACTCCTGTTATGAGGCCGTAACATTAAAATCAGTGAAATAACTGAGAGTCGGCTACGCTGTCAACCTAGCTGCCAGGCTGGGCATTCCTGCATGCACAAATGAGGAAAATGGTTCCAAACCAGCCTATTCCATATTGCTCCGCAATGAGTTCAGCACAATATCTGGCTATCTTGAATTTAAAGGACTGCAACCCCAATTTTAAGGTGTCTGCTTTAATAGGTGTCCTTAGATATGGCTATGATTTCAACGGTCTATATGATAACCCTGTATGACCAAGGAATCTGCCAGTTCACCACAATGCAAGAGATACTTTCTGGAAGGAAAATCAATCAGCTGATGACAAAATCAGACAACATATAGAGAGGGAGCAGGTGAGGGAGAGAGGAGTTGTAGTTGAATTTTTAATATACCGTTATCAATTAATTCTTGTCTTTCAAGCATATTCCCTTCCCCATCTCAAACAACTCCCATCAGAAAAGTCCATCTAAATTCTCAAATAAATTGCCAAAACAAAATAAGAAAACAAAGAGATGGAACTGCTTTGAGAAAGGCAATGGAAGTTGGCCACCTCCTCTTTTTTTGTATGTTGATGAACTACAGAGAAGCTGGTCATTAACTCAACTTCATCTGATTGTAGCAAAGCATTCATTGTAACAAAAATTCTACTACAACAAAACAATCAGTATGTCCCACGGAGTTCATCATAATGGGATACAATACATATCTAATAATATGAATGTAATATGCATATAATCTGTGTGATTTATAATATACATATAATGGAGAGGTAGAAATTTACCTTATTTTCAGATTTTGGTAAATCTTAGATTAATTTGCATTCTATGGGCACATACTTGAGGAAACTGACTGGGTAGGCTCGGAATTTAAAACTAACCATTTATAAGTCACAAAATGGACAATCCATATAAAGGTAAGAGAGTCACCAATTTTATATGATTTAAAATATGTTAACCTGACATGTCCATCTGGATAATAACTGTTGGTCCCACAGCATTTACATTTTGTTTTGTAGTACTAAAAAGAGCACTAGTATATTGCTAATTTTTACATATTGCACAGAAAACATAAAAATACATTACCTTGTCTGTTCTTGCTGCAACGTGTTGGGATCAGGTATAAAAAATCTTACTCGAAAATTCAGGGTACAGGGGAAAGGTCCTACAACATTTTTCAAAAAGAAATTACATTTTTCCTTTTTTAAAAATGCAAGTAAAGTTGAGATTCTTCCATAAGCAATACAAACATTTGTCATACTACATTGCTTGGTTCCTTCCACACTCACAAATGGGTTTGTTTCAAATGCTAAGTGCATACACTGAATGTAATTTTTAAAAGCTTGAGGCAACAATACATAGGCTGGTAAAGTGTTTCTACAAGATATTCACTGATGGCCCCTTAAATAAATAATGTGGATCTGTGTCCAAACAGCTCCCTCTATTCTCTGCATCATTCAAAAAAAAAAATCCTAAACATATACTTAGCATGCAAAATTCTCACCAAGAAATATAACATTTTACCCTTATATAGCATTTCAACCTTTCCAAAGCACATTCACATACATAAATGCATTACCTCATTCATTGTTCACAATAACCCCCCCACACACACACACCACACACGAGCCAAGTGCTGTTATTTCCACTTTATATGTGAGGAAACAATTTCAGGGAGGGTGATGAGATGTGTCTGAGGCCACAGGTCATCATCATAAGCAAAGACCATGATAAAAACTTCATGATAAAAAAAGTCCATGGCTCCTTCAACTATCCTATGTGACAAACTCCACATTCATAAATATATATGTGCGTGTATGTACACTCAAACGTGTGTTTATGTACATGCACATACATACCTACACAGTAAATACCAACTTTATCAACATTATCTTATCTTCAACAGAATACATGACTTCTTTAAATCTGATATTATACATTAATATCACGTTCAATCGTACAATCTTAATACAGACCCAAAAACGCTCTGCATGGGTAAAACGAATTGGTCACATATTTTCTTTTGCTAGATAAAGTAGCAGAAAAAAATTAGCTTGCTTTACTAATATCCTGTAGTATTTTCCCTGGCTATTCAACCCTTCTGAAACCATCAACAAGTTCTTATTATGCACCCTCTATGTGCCTGGTATTCTACCCATCACCTCTTGTTTGAGGTCACCCACCAGCCCACTCAGTCTCACCTCCTCTCATCTGCTTATCTCGTCACTCATTCTCCCACCTACCCATCACCAAACTACTTATTCCTGACTTTTCACACCAATTATTCTAATCTTTTCAGTAATGGGACGTCTGAATGAACCCCTTAATCTCAAGGTTGACTATCTCTAATCTCAAGTGTACGCCTGTATGCCTCTTTATTTCTACAGACACACACAACATTTCTGGATGTTAGACATCCGTGAGTAAGCTTGTGAATACGTGTATGTGCAATTCTACAGAAAGTGAGTACTCTGCGAGTACGGCCCGTTTCATTTCTCTGCAACCTCAGCACCCAGCACAATGCCTTAGCACATGGTAGGTCTTTGATAAATACTTGTCGACTGGCTCACATACTTGGACAAATTATGTGTGGAAAGAATGTATTTATATAGTTATGAATATGTTTATTGAGTACATTTCTGCATGTATGTATATATGCATATGCTAATTAAGGGAATTTCCATGCAAGCTCTTTCATGTATCTAAAGGGAGCGTTTCTTTGTTTATCTCCATATATAGGGAGATAAACAATACATACAATCTCCATGAATATGTATGTATATAAACAGATATGTACATAACGTACACATAAATGCATTGCATATATAAGTATATATCTATACACATGTATATTTTTGTATATACACATATACTTTCATATGAGCATCCTGTTGGGAGAGGAAAAATAGTTACAATGATGATGACAATAACTCACATTTATACTGGTCTTTAAGGTCTACAAAGCACTTTACATAAATTATCAAATGATGCTCACAACATCCCTGTGAAGTAGATGCTACTATTATGTGCATTTTACAAGACCTCAGGGTCAGCTCCTAACTACAGGATTCAAACTCAGGTCTTCCTGATTCCAAGTCCAGCACTCTAGCCAATGCACAAACCTGCCAAAAAGATACTCTAGGTACTCATGTAATCATATGTGTATACCAGTATTTGTGCAGCTGGGTGGGTGAGTGCTCACTGAGATACACCTATGTTGACAAGAGTGTGTGACAGTATGAGTGTGTGGAGGGTGGGTAGGGAGAAAGAGAAGGGAGTAGTATTACCGATTTCTCACGTTGGACTAAGAAGGGTTAGTTTGGAGCTCAGTTTCCTTGTCTTCAGCTGGTTATATTCTCTTTCTTCATTTTCCTTCCCCCATCTATTTGCTAAGCTCACTCTCTCCCATGAAAACTTGGTATCATTTCCCTCTAGTACATCAGCTCAGTGACTACCCCAGATCAACAGGAATGCAAATATCATGTAAGAAACAAGCCAATTAGTATATTAAAAACATAGCATAGTAATACTAATAATACAAGGTTAACAAAAACTATACAAACCTTTGAGTTGTTTTCTGATTGGTTTACCAGATTCAAGCCATCTCTGTTGAATAAGGAAATAAAGTTTTATTCTTAAATCTTAATAAAAACATCAAAGTTATAGAAAACAGATTCTACTTACAGGAGAATCCACTGAATCTTCACCATGTTGCAAACCAAAATATTCTTTTTCTGTTATACCCAAGTGATTAAAAGCCATATCCAATAGAACTTGACCAGTATCTTGTTTCTAGAGGAAGGAATAGATTTTATAAGTGAATTTTGTAAGTGTCAAGATTTTATCCTTTGTAACATAATCAGATTTTGTGACAATCTGGAAAAACAAAGCACTTTAAAAACAATTTATTTTTTCAATGCTTTGATTGGTTTTGCTAAACTATTCCCTAACTACACCCTCTTATTTTAGTCTTTGTTAAGGGGGATAGCTCTCTGGGACGGGGACACACACACACACACACACACACACACACACACACACACACTCTCACTCAGAAATGTTGGTGATATGAAATCAAAAAAAGTCAAAATTTATTTTAAAAAACTAATTTGGCCTGTAGTGAAAAGAGAATTCTGGACTAGGAATTCATCTGCGTGACCTTGGGTAACACACCTTCCTAAGCTTAAATTTCTTCCCTCTGAAATAGGGATCACAGTACTTGTATCACCTATCTCACAGGACTGTAGTAAAGATCAAATAAAATAAAATAACCAAGCACCTGTAAAGTGCTTTGTAACTACGAAATGAAAAATACATAAAATCATCACTATTTAGACGATTAATCTACTGCATCCATATTGACTCTGCATAGCACCCAATACTTTGGGATTTTTTTTTTCAATTTGAAGAAGTCATGAAAGTTTCTGAATTTTAGAACTGGAAGAGAATTCAGAGATCATCTGTCCAACCTCCTCACTTTCAAGATAAGGAGGCAGAAGGCCAGAAAGGACAAACACAGTAAGCTACGGTTCACAAAGCTAGGAAAGAAACCCTGAGCCAGTCCTAAAAAGTTCAATCCTCTTAACTACATAGTTACCCCTTCCACATAATGGTGGTTAATGCCACGGCATCCCTGTGATCTGCAAAGTCCACATAAAATTTTTTGGGCCCTTCCTTTGTACCAGAAAAGAAGTCTGAATTATTATGGCATTAAAAGATAAAACATGTTGATGTTATAAAATACTATACATATATTTTATGCATTTCGGAGTTTCTAAACTTTTTCTGTGTTGTTTACTGGCCTTCATGTGTCATCTGCAACTTCCTCAAAACTCCCCAAAAATTCTCATTTAATTTCTTATGCCGATCCATGATACATTGAAGCTGTGATGGGAAAAGTCTTGATGTGGAAGAAATGACTGTATTGTCTACAAAGTCTGTCAGGTTTTTTCTTCATTATACGCTAAGGTCAATAGCCGATCTGCTCTTATTTCCACATTATCTAACAGGCTTGCTAGATATTCACATATTTACATGAATATATGTGTTCCAGGCTTTCTGAACTTTAGCAAATATATTAATATTTAATTAATATTAATATTAAAAATAACTTCTGCATAACATTAAGGATTCTGACTCAGTATTCACTCGGTTGTATTCTGAGGTACAATCCAACTTTATGTTTTGTTGATGACAAAATGATGATGATGACATGGCTAACATTTATACAGCACTTACCACGTGGCAGGTGCTGTGCTGTGCACTTTACAATTATCATCTCATTTAATTCTCACAACAACCCTCAAGGAAGGTGCTATTATTATCCCCATTTTACAGATGAGGAAACTGAGGCAAACAGAGGATAAGTGACTTGTCCAGAGTCATACCACTAGACTCTAGTCCAGTATTTTATTCACTGCCCCAACCTACAACTTAACACACACAAACACTCTGTAACTGCTGGAGGGATGTCAGTCTTACTCCCAAACTATTTCTATTTTATGTGATATATTCTAAATTCAAATCAAGAAGCTGAGACAGTGTCCCACCCTAGGAGCTGAGATCAAATTGAAAAGAAAGGGAAAAGGCCAAAAAAGATGAGTAGAAAATAAACAAACAAAAGAACCTAATCAAAGAAAGTTACCAAGGTAACAGGGAAGATCAAGACACAAACTCAGAAAAGGACAACAATGTCAAAACATCAATGGGCAACTCCCCCCCCAATGGGAAGTGGTCTCAAGCCCAGAAAGAACTCACAGAAAAGCTCAAAAAGGAGCTTAAAAATCATGTGAGGTAGAAGAAAAACTGAGAAAAGAAAGTGATGCAAGAGAATTATGGGGGGGAAAAAAGTCAACAGCTTGGAAAAAGAAAACAACTGCTTAAAAAGCAGAATTGGCCAGATGGAAAAGGAGATACAAAAATCCACTGAAGAAAACAACTCCTTAAAAAAATACAATTGGCCAAATAAAAAAGTACAAAAGCTAAATGAAAAAAATGACTCCTTAAAAGTTAGAACTGGACAAGCAGAAGATAATAACTATGAGACATCAAGAATCAATCAAACAAATTCAAAAGAATGAAAAAAGGGAAAAAAATGTAAAACACCTCATAGGAAAAACAACTCACCTGGGAAATACATCCAGGAGAGGCAACATCAGAATCATTAAACTATCTGAAAGCCATAATCAAAAGGAGGACCTGGAGAGCATCTTTCAAGAAATTATCAAGGAAAACTGCCCTGAGGTCCTGGAATCAGAGGGCAAAATAGGCATTTAAAGAAGTCACCCATGACCTCAGGAAAGAAACTCCAAAATAAAAATGCCAAGGAACATTATAGCCAAATTTCAGAACTATCAGGTCAAGGTGAAAAAATGCAAGTGAACAGAAAGACATAATTCCAATCTCGCGGAGCTACTATCAGGATAACACAGGATTTAGTAGCTACAACATTAAAAGATCAGAGGTCATGGAACATGATATTTTGGAAGACAAAGAAGCTAGGACTACAACCCAAGAATCATTTCCCAGTGAAATTAAGCATAATACATCCATAATACCATTCCATGGTAATTCAATGAAATAGAAGAATTTCAAGCTTTTATAAGAAGACCAGAATTAAACCAAAAATTTGATTTCCAATTTCAAGATCCAAGAACAATGTGAACATGTAAAAAGGGAAAAGAAAATATAAGGAAACTGTCTACAGCTCTACATGGGAAGATGATAATTGTAATTCTTAAAAACTGTAGTACTAACAGCACAGCTAGAAGGAATATACATAGACACAGGGTACAGGTGTAAGGCGAATTTGAGGGAGTGATATAAAAAATAATTAAGGGATGAAAAAGAGACATACATTGGATATAGAAGGAAGGGAGAGGTAGAATGGAGTAAATTATTTCATGTGAAGAGGCACGAAAGATCTATTACAAGGGAGGGGAAGATGGGAAGGTGGGCAATGAGCCTTACTCTCACCAGTATTGGCTCAAAGACGAAATAATATACACAATCAGTTGAATACAGAAATCTGTCTTACTCGACAGAGAAGATTAAGTAAAAGGGGTAGGTGGGTAAGGACTGACAGAAGGCAGAGCAGATCAGGGGATGTGATAGCTGGTTAATGAGAAGGGAAAGGGAGAAAGGAGAGGGAGGACAAACAGGAGGGAAAATAGCATGTAGGGAAATACATAGTAATCATAAATATGAATGTGAATGGGATGAATTCTTCCACAAAATGGAAGCTGATAACAAGTGGATCAAAAACCAGAACCCTACAAGATTACAAGAAACACACTAGAAGCAGAAAAATACACACAGAGTAAAGGTAGGGAGCTAGAGCAAAATCTATTATGCATAGGGCATTAAAAACCTCAAACTCAAATGTTGAAAGGCAGAAATACTGAACTTATTTTTGGATCACAATGGAATAAAAATTACATTCAGCAAAGACCAGTGGAAAGATAGATTAAAAATAAATTGGAAACTAAATAATCTAATCCTAAAGAATAAGTGGGTCAAAGAACAAATCATAGAAACAATAAATAACTTCAAAAAAGGGAATGACAACAATGAAACAACATACCAAAAGTTATGGAATGCAGCCTAAGCAGTACTTATGGGAAAATTTCTCTAATTCTTACATCAACAAAACAGAAAAAGAACAGATCAATGAATTGAGTATGCAACTAAAAAAAAACTAAAAAAAGAACAAATCAAAAAATCCCCAATTAAATTGGAAATCCTGAAAATCAAAGGTGAGATAAATATGATCAAAAATTTAAAAAAATTGAGCTAATAAACCAGTGGTTGAAGAAAACCAAATATCTAGTATCAAAAATGAAAAGAATGAAATCACCACCAATGAGGAAAAAAATTAAAGCAATCATTAGGGAATATTTTGCCCAATTACATGCCAAAATCAATGAATATTCATGAAAATATAAATTACCCAGATTAACAGATTAGGAAATAGAATGTCTAAATAAGCCCATTTTAGAAAAAGGAATTGGAGGAATTGGAGAAGCCATTAATGAACTTCCTACGAAAAAATCCCAGGGCCAATTGGGTTCACAAGTGAATTCTACTAAACATTCAAAGAACAAATAATTCCAATAAACTCTTTGGGAAAATAGGCAAAGAAGGAGGTGCTCATGCTAAATTGGGAAGAGTTAAAACAGAGAAAGAAAATTATAGACCAATTTCCCTAATATTGATGCAAAAATTTTGAACAAAATACTAGCAATTCCAGCAATATATCACAAGGATTATACACTATGACCAGAAGAGATTTATACCAGGAATGCAGGGTTGGTTCAATATTGGGAAAACTATCAACATAACTGACCATGTCAACAACAAAACCAACAGAAATCATATGAATATCTCAATAGACGCTGAAAAAGCTTTTGACAAAATACAGCATTCATTTCCTATTAAAAACACTACAGAGCATAGGAATAAAGTGAGCATTTCTTAAAATGATAAGCAGCATCTATCTAAAACCATCAGCAAGCATACTGTAATGGGGATAACCTAGAAAGAAGTCTTCCCAATAACATTAGGGGTGAAGTGAAGTTACCTATTATCACCACTATTATTCAATATAGGACTAGCAATATTTGCTATAGCAATAAGAGAAGAAAAATAAATCGAAGGAATTAGAATAGGCAATGAGGAAACAAAACTTGCAAATGATATGATGGTATACTTAAAGAACCCTAAAGAATCAACTAGAAACTATCTAAAATAATTAACAACTTTAGCTAAGTTGCAGGCTGTAAGATAAACCCACA